AGTTTAACCATAGAGATAAGTTCGTCTTTCCATGCTTTAATAAAGGACAGCTTTGTGGAGAGGCTGTCTACTCACTGGATATTAATGGTTTCTCCCACCTAAAGTGTTCATCTCTGTAGCTCCTGTGAAGCTACCAGGCCATTTGTCTTTTGGTTGCTTCTTGGATGAATGCTTACCTTGCCTGGCTTGTAGTTTTTTTTTTACCTGTATTATGAAATATACATACAGGTTTTGAGTCTACTGCCTGTTTTAGAAAGCAGAAAGTTTTTTTTAAGTGGAAAGTTGTTCATTGATTTGATTATTAAAGTGAACAGCATTTTTAATAACTAGGAACATAGCTGAATGTGAGTCACCGACTAACCAGTCTGTATGATTGGATTGGAATGAAAAGATGCATTTCTGTATTTAAATTGAAGAGTCGTTTTTTGTAAAATGCATTGACATCTCTTATGAATTGGCGCTAAATATAAAAAGTGAACTGTACTGTCTGTAACGTGAAAAAATTTAAAAAGCTTAAAGGTAGGTGTAGTTTTTTAACATATAACCACACTGCTTAAAACCTTACAATGTTTATGCCTACACTTCTGCAAATCATTTAAACAGATGTGAGCTTTGTTTTGTGGTTCTTCCTGATAGTATAGCTTCAAATCGTGCCCTTTTCAAATGATGCCCACTTGAGCTTAAACCCTTCTCAGAAGAGAAACCTCTTTTCTTAGAAGAGTCTTTTAAGCAGTGGATATGCTCTAGTTTTAATAATACTGTCTTTTCCTGCCCAGTCTCTGTTCTTCACTTGACCAAGCAGACCTTCCAGCTTTTACAGCTCTTTTGAATAATGTGAGCCAATATTTTGCCCCCTAAATTATTCAAGTGAGCCAGCTATATCCACAGAGTTACTCTTAACAGCAGTTCTAACAAAAGGGATAAAATAAAGTAAAATTCGGTGGAGCTCATTCTTCTCTTGTTTATGATTTGCTTTCATGTCATGTTTTGGAACTTTTTACATGAAAATCTATATCTAAATGTAATATTTTTTAATGTTTTTTTTTTATATAACTAGCCTTTACTTAATTATGCATTTATTCTATGTGGTTACTTTTAGAGTCCTGTATAGCAGCACATCAGGTATTTATTTTGCCAATAAGCCTAATCATCCAAAGCCAGTAGACAGAACTACTAAATAGGAATAGCCTATGAGATTGGAGCTGAGCTACCATGCAGTTCATAATATGGAAAATGCAGCTCAGTGCTACTGGGAGAATACTGTATAATAGAATAGAACAGATTTTATTGTCCCCTGGGGGAAAATTTGTCATGGACTAAAGAATGTTTAGTGCATAGTGGTAGCTGCCATTAGAAACAATAAAAACATGTAAAAAAATAAAAATAAAAAACAGGCTTAAAACTAGTACTAAAAAATAGAGTGGCTCAAGTTATCATGAGATCTCTCCATAGTTATGCTGCTATAGACTTAGACTGCAGGAGGATATAAGGACCCTTTTTCATCATTCTGCTTTATTCCTTTTCTACTCTCCAATTCTAATGTAATTGTTAGTCCAACTTTGTAATTCGCATTTGCAATATTCGTAGTATTAGTAAAAAATAGTCACAATTTAGATTTTCAGAAAAATCGCTCAACCCCAATTGTTTTAAACGACTCAAAGAAAGCAGATGTCTATTGTCACTGCGTGCTCATCCAGGAGATCCAAATCCAAAGTCAATAGCACTTGGAGAAATCTACCTCTCTATTTAACTCATCCCCTTGGGTAGCAGTGGGCTGTCATTATGAGGCGCCTGGGGAGCAGTGTGAGTTCAAGGGTTTTGCTCAGGAACCCAGAGGGGAGGCTGTGGGGATTGACCCGGATACTTGCACCTTTCTGAGAACAACGAAAAGAAAATGTTTGGGAAGAAACATGTGTGATTGATGCTGATGATGAGCTTTAATGATGTCATATTAAATCAAGTGTTCATTACCACACGTTTTGCTCCTTTGAATTAAATATTATCGAGCATGCTCTCTTTCGAGCTCCAAGGTAGTCAAACTGGGGAAGGACGGAGGAACCGCAGTGCAGTTCGATGGATTAACAACATTAATCAATCAAATTAATTCGATTGATTAATGTTGTTAAAAGCCCACGATTTGAAAATTGTAAAATCGAGGAAGTCTCTTCTTCTGCATTTTTTTACTTGCGCTATTGCTTCCCCCACCTCTTTCCTCCTTCCGCCCAATAGCCTGCTGCACTGTTTACTCACGCCATAGCCGCTGCTCAATCTGAAGAGTTGGGTTGTGTTTCGTCGATTATTTTGAAGTGGCTCAGCTTTGACAAGGCCGATGTGGAGCGGACTACAGTGGTGTGCAAGGTTTGTCAAAATGCTATCAAAAGCAAGCTAGCAGCGCAACTAACTTGTTTCAGCATCTCTGGCAAAGGCACCCCACAGAATGGGAGCAGTGCTCACAGCTTTAGGAGTACATTGGGCAAAGACAAACATGACCACGACAAGAAAAGACCACAAACCTTGGCCGCCTCATTTCTAAAGCGGTGCCGACCGACAAGTATAGTGTGTGGCGGAAGCAGATGACCGACGCTGTAGCTGTTCATATAGTGATGGACATGGTGCCCATTTTACACTGTAGAGAAGCCTGGCTTCCTTCACATGCTAAAAGTGTGTGATCCAAAACGTGACCCGCCGAATCGCAAATAATTTGCAGAGGTTGCACTACCACAACTGTACAATGAAACAGGACAAGCGCTCTGTGGTAAATTGGACTCTGCTTTGTTTTTTTGCAACTACTACAGACCTTTGGTCCAGTCGATCTCTTCACCATACATGAGTTTAACTGTGCATTATATTGATGTGAACTGGGCTTTCAACAGCTGCTGTTTAAAAATCACCTACTTCACAGAAGATAAATACAAGTTATTGACTGTTCGATAAATTGCATATTTCAGCAATTAAAGCTCTTTTTTTCTTGCACTTGTACTGAATATATAGGTGTACATTTTTTACTGATAAAAAATCATTACAATTATTGTTGGGTGAACATTTGTGTTTTATTTTATGAATACTTAAGTTTACTTTTTTTACAATATGTTTATAGTTTCCTAAATATTTGATTAATATCGAATAAATTGTAATCGTCCAAGATGACAAAAAATTTTAAAAATTCTGAGATTTTATTTCTCAGCAATATCACCCAGCCCTGTTTCAAAATACTCCTGTCAGTATATTCAATTCAATTCAGTTTATCTGTATAGAGCCAATTCACAACACATGACATCTCAACACACTTCCATCCATCTGTTTTCCATCACGCTTATCTCAACCGGGGTCGCGAGGGGTGCTAGTGCCAATTTCCAGCTGTCTAGGGGTGAGAGGCGGGGGTCCACCCTGGACAGGTCACCAGTCAATTGCAGGGCAACACAGAGACAAACAGGCCTAACAGTCATGTTTTTAGACTGTGGGAGGAAGCCGGAGTACCGGGAGAGAACCCACGCATGCTCAGGGGGAAAAGGCAAACTTCATGCAGAAAGACCCCAGGCTGGGAATCGAAACCCGGAAACTTCTTGATGCAAGGCAGCAGTGCTACACACTGCTCCACTGAGCAGCCCATCTCAACTCATTTCACAGAGACAGTTCAACCAGATTATACAGTCAAATTGATTAAAAGTTTTCTATCGAAGGAAAACCAGCTGATTGCATCGACTCATTGACGTGAAAGCAATCCCTCCAACCAAGCATGCTTGTGGCGACAGTGGAGAGGAAAAACTCCCTTTTAACAGGAAGAAACCCCCAGCTGAACAAAGCTCATTGTGAGCGTCCGTCACCTAATCACCTAAAAGCAAAGCATCAAAATAAATAATTGAATTTTGTCAACGTCTCAACTGCCAATATCCCTCAGGTCTACCCTCTTTTGTCTATGCACGCCACACGAATTTTCTTGCTACTAAACTGTGCTATGCAAATAAAAATGTCCAGCCTTGCACGGTTAGTGCCTATTCATATTGCCAGTGGTTGATGACATCATAGAAAGACTGAATTGTTTTGACACGGCATCATCTGACCTCTGTTCACGGTCAAAAGCTTTGCTCTCCATTTCCGAGGTAATCTCCTCCCACACTAGGTTTATGTAGTTATGATTGAACTTTAAATTGTTTTATGACAGACTGCAGCACAAGAAATATCAAACCATTAAACAAATAACGACATGCTTATATAAACTGTTTTTAAGAAATAATGAAGTAAGTAAAACAAAGGTTTACTATTTATATTCCTTGTTTTATTTGTAACCAATAAATCAGGGGTCTTCAACGTTTTCCGGGGGACCCCTAATTTTATATATATTGTATGAAATTGTGTTATATCAAACTGGTCCTTTAGTCACTCCATTATATAATATGGAGTCATGTAATGAAAGTAATTTCTCCCTGGGATTATCAAAGTACTTCTGATTCTGATTTCTTGTTGATGGGACAGGTGTTGTGAATTAAACGGTACCCAGCTTGAAAGAGCTCCTGTGTGTTGCTGAATGTGTGCATTGATGACTGAAAGACATCTTCTGCCTCCATTTATCTGATCACTACAATATTTTGAATTCATGTTAATGTGTATTCCAAGACATTTCAATCAGTGGAAAAAATTGCATTGAGGAATATAAAAAAAAAACTTTTAAGACCCCCTGTTGAAGATATCTGCAATAAATGCTTGACACGTTTATTTTATCATATAATCATTTTATTTAATATTTATTAAGGTATTTATTACATTTTCTTTAATATTACCATGTAAATATTTAACATTATTTATTGATGGGATTGTGCAACTTAAGGTATTTAATATTAGTTATTGGCTAATCTATTTCACATTCATTGGTGCAATAAAAACCTCCAGTCACAAAGGATGAGGAGAGCTGCTCTGAGCCACAGCTGCGTGACTAACAGATAGAAAAGCTCCTCTCTGACTCATGAACCGTTTCACTCAGAGCTTGAAGATCATCCACCTACCTCAGATCTCTGGCTGAAGTTGTCAGGATGCAGAGTCCGCTGAAGCTGCAAGTATCTCGTCTGGAGCTTTTGTGTGTCCAGTGTGAATGTATAATCACTATAAAAAAAAAATAAAAATAAAGTTGCTTACGGATTTATAGGGATAGAAACAGAAGGACACAATGATTTAAATGACACCGACCAGTCCATGATCTTGAAAAAGGACGTCCCCTCCTCAGGGGGTTGGATTGTTTTGCACGAATCGCAAAAAAATGAAGGAGTTCTGTCAAGAAGTTGCTTACAATTCCAGCAGTTATGTTTAACTTGGCTTGTTGAACAACCCCTCGATAAAAATACCTCATTGGTGCGTTTTACGAGACCTGCAATGTTCATATCCCTGTGCAAAGTGTCCCTGTGAAGGCATGTTGACATGCAGAGCTGAGGATATGTAACACCTTTAAAAGAGAAATGTCGCTCTGACAGGAGGCTGCGTGCCGCCCGGAGGGAAGATAAAACCCGGATACATTTAATGTGAAACATTCTCAGAGATAGATATAGCAATTAAAAGTTAAAACGTGTCGAATCAAAACAAACATTCCCCCTAAATGTGGAAAAGCAGAAGAAGAAGAAGAAGAGAGTTTCTTCTTCTGGTTTTTATTTTAGCACCACAGCGCCACCCCTCGATTGGATGGCGAAAGTTGCAAGGATGCTTCGGATGATAGCCAACTAGCAAGTGCAAACAATATTTTGTCAGCATAAATACTGTAAAAAATTAACGTCCAAATTGAAGGAGGCTCATCAGTAGAAGTAAGTTACACGTAACATCCCTTTAAGACCAGAAACGAAAGCCCAACCTTCTTACGAATTGTGGCGAAGGGAAACTTCCGATTGAGCTGCTTCAGAAAGAGAAGCAGCTATTAGCCTGTAGCTAAGCTAGCCTATGCGTTTGCTGTCAGTTTTTGGCAAAACTACTTTATCTCTCGTCGTTTCCTAAATTGTTTTTTTTTTTTTTTTGCTTACCCGAAGGTGTTGGATTTTTTTTTGTGATTATTAGAGTCTTGTGACTATATTAAATAAAACATTTCAGCAAAAAATTTATTTTGCCTAAACTTTCTCTGTAAATAACTGGGTCAACTACTAAGAAAAAACAAGATGACGTGCATATCGAAAGGAATAAAGTGTAGATTTTCCATCACAGGATTTCAGAAAACGCTATAGGCCCCAATACATCAAACATATTTAGGTGGAAGATGCCATCGGGCATTAATAAACACACTAATGGCCATATTATTGTTTATGAAATTAACCCATGTGAAACTCAAACTTGTGGAGTTCTGAACAGATATATTGACAGAAGTAATATTTTTTTGTTAATCATTGATTTATATATAAATACAGTATTGATGATTAATGATTGATCCATACTGTATTATTTAATGGTTATTTAATACAGTTTATCAGATCAATAATGAAATAATCATCATCTAACTCAGTAATCGAATAATCGTTAACTGGAGTATAGAATCTCTAAAATTGGCCTTTATGTGACAGAGCAACACAGAGCAGTAACTAAGATTATAAAAAAAATAAAAATAAAAACATTTTCATTTAAGTTTTTTTTTAAATTACTTCTGTCAATATGCTCTGTTCAGAACTCCACAAGTTTGAGTTTTACGTTTAATTTCATAAAAAGTATATCTTTATAGAATCGTTGGCTATCAGATTGTAAATCGAAATAATCGAGATATCAAACAATTTGCAAAATAATCCTTAGTAGCATCCCTAATATATATGTGCATATATATATATATATATGTATACGTTTGTGTGTGCATATTTGTCATATATTGTTTTAAAAGCTTGTTCTTAAAACCCGTCATCAATGTCCATCGTTTTTTTTTTTTTTTTTCTGAAATCCATGCTGTTTTTGCATTAATTCAAAACTTTTTTTGCTGTAACCTTGCAGAATACAGTTAAACATCATCACTCGGGCAGGAATCCAATTTCCATACATTTTTTTTTATTATTCAGATATCCCATTAAACTGGAATGGCAGTGAAAAAGGAAATGATCCATGAAGACTGTTGGCTGCTGGCTGAGCAGCTGCCCCACTGGGGACATCATCAGGAGCCCAGATAACACCTCCAAACTGGCCAGTGTTTTATTATCTTAAGGGACCTGGAGCTGCTTAAGCTTTCCATCCAACAAAGCTGCTGCACTGGAGATGCTGTTAGGTGAGTAAAGTTCCTCAGAAGTGAACCCAGACCGCATTTGCTTATTTGGCAAAAGATCACACTAGACGACTCGGCTCCTCGAATTTACGGTTTCCTGAAAAAGTACAAGCGGTGATGAATGCCTTTTCCCTATTCTTGTTATGTGCATGTGTGTTTTGGGTGCGGTGGGAGTGCAAGGGTTGATGGAAGATTATTCCAGAGAGACACTGGTTGGAGACAGAAGCATCCGTAAGGTAAACAGGATCTTCTCCTGAAGGTCGGGGGAGTTGCTTCTCAAGGCCCCTACAGACAATACTCTGGATATTATTAACGGAAATGGCTAAGAATAGAGAAAGGGGGGGTGGAGCAAAGTAGGTCCTCTGGCCCTTTACTTGTTTGGGTTACACGGGCCAAAAAAGGAATATTATCTATAGAAGAGGGCCTTCGTTAGCTTGCGTGTGAGGTGTGGTGCTACCACCCAAGGCAAGAGATGAATCAAACGGGCTGGGTCAGGATTTCATGGAGAGCGGACTGAAAGGAGAGAAGTTGTGAGGTCTTCTAGATGTTTTTATCAATGGCTTTTTGGGGCTCTTCAGTTTGGATTCGTAAGTAATTCTGTTTTTTTACGTCATCTTCGGACGTTTTTACATTTCATGTAAAATACAAGAGATTACAAAACCTTTGTATTGTCTGCGATCTTCTAATTCTGAGTTGCGACATAATGAATTCCTGTGCTCTCTCTCTGAAGTCAGTTGGCTTGCAGCAAAGATTCACTCATGTTTACAGTGGATTAAAACCTTTTATATTGGCTTATGATGGTTAGTTTCAAATGTGTAGCATCTGGTATGATGTAAAATTTGCATGATTTTTTATGATGAATAACGGATGATTTGTGAGAAATAAAATCACTCTTGTTGAAGGCTTTCCATAAGGGTTCTGGAAAGGGAATTATTCATTTGGCAGATTTTGGCTGTAATGCAAAATTTCTCATCATTTTTATGACGTGTCTGTATTTGTACTGTAAGAATTAGTAATAAAACCATCATTCTTATTTGTAGTTCTATATAAGGAAGCTTATACCAAATTCAGTGAATATTTGGCTGAATTATTAACTGGTATGAAAGTAATTGTTCTGCACTTGCAGCATTTTTGCTCAGTATTACCATGGAATGGAATCATTTAGTATTAAAATGTCATTCAAATTATCTGGTGTTTTATATTCATTTTAGCAAAGTAAATGTTAAAATAAGTTTTTGGATTTTAGATTATCTTATGGCCTAAAAAAGGGCACAGAATTGGATTAATATAATTTATATTGATGGAAATGTGTTAATTTCAGAGCAGTCAGAAAGTGGGGGCTTTAAGGTATACCAGGAGCTGCACCGTGTTTCCAAACTGTAACAGAGTGCACAACATTAATGCTGGAATGCAGTATTAGTTGGTTGTTTGTATTTTCAATTAAAAAAATGACATTTAGATTAACTGTTATGTGCGATGAGGCATGAATTTTCACTTTGCTTATAGGTAGGGTGATTAGATCCTAAAAAAACAAATATTGGACAACTAGGGCACTTATTAGGGACAATGTGGGACATAAGCAACCTTTCCAGCTGTGTCTTTCTTTGTGACTCACTGTTACAGTGTTGCCTTACATCACGCTCCCCTCATATGAAATTTAAAAATAACTTTAGAAAACTTCACTTCAAACCCTGCCACTGTCCTCACCCAGTGTAAGAAAGTAAAACATTTTTTCTGTCTTTCTTTATGTCCTCTTATCTGTCTTAAAATCTTTTACCAAACATGTTTTAAAAACATTGTGAGCAGGTTGGTGACGAAGTGGGCACAGCTCTGTGACAATAGCTGCAGCTTTGCTTTCTTTGCTTTTTTGAAAAGGGCATATAGATATATTATATTTTTTTGTTTTTGTTTGAACCAGTGAAACAGCTTGACACAGTCCAGCACAACTTGCATCACACATGCAGGCATTATTATTCTTACTGCGTTAAATAGTCAAACCTTGACATAGATCAGGTCACAGAAAATGTTGAAAACATCAATTGACAGATGCGAAACAGAAGAGTCAAATGTTACAGAGGTTTTCTAGCTGATGCTGCTATTACATTATTAAGCGATTAGTAAATAATGGTTTATTGCATTCTAAACATAATTATTTACGATTAAACAAAGCCATGTTTGCTTTATCTCTGTGATCTTAATGAAGCCTCTTCCATTGAATGTGTTAGATCTAATAGAGTCATGTGGCAGGTTGACTCTCCTTAGAAACCTTGTTATACTTTAGAACAGTCATGTCCTGTTCCAGTTCTCAATACATGAACCTCAGCATGAGTTTGGTCGTTTCCTTGCTCCAAAACACCTGATTGATGTAACTGAAATATTTCCGTCATTTTTCCTTTTCCGAAGAGATGACTATTTAGAAATGTAAGAAATTTTTACATGTCGTTCTCTAATTGTTTTCTATGAATTTAAATAATTTTAATGAGAGTTGGAAACTACAACAGTTAGATTTTACAACCCATCTCTTTAAAAGAAAAAAATGCAGCTTTAAGGACTGACTTCACTCCACCAGCTTGGAAACTTTGCTTGTTTAATGTGCACGTTTTTAAAGGGATGCAATACTGCTGTCAGCTGGGGAATGTTTTTGTAGCGACAGTTTTTACCCACTGGGGGATGTTTTGCTTCTCTACCTCTCTTTATTTCATCCATTAGTGTTCTAATTAGGATCTTTAAGCGCAAATGGATGAACTTGAAATGGGTAAAAGCATGTTTTAGCCTGGAGACAATATACAGAATATACAAAAGTACTATTTATATTGTGAATATTTTTACAGACTATTGTACTTATTTCTGATCTGTTTAAGATCAATACATAATATAATGGTATTAATTGGCAATTGTTTCCACTTTTACGGCAACTGCTTTTAATTTTCCGTCAAACATTCACCGTAGCATCCAGATATAGATTTTACAGCAGAGGCAGAGCTTTCGCAGCTGTATGAGCTGCCACTTTAGGAGTCGGTCATGTATCTTCTCCTCCACAATAAGCCGTCTCTTATCTTCCCTACATTGTCAAAAATGATGTATATCTTTATTAAGACCCAGAATTGTTGCACAGGAAGCTAAAAACAAGCCTGTTGTTAGGGAACAGAGGGATGGAACTGCAGGCGTGAATTCTTCTATTCTACAATTGTTCTTTAACATCACAGTAGTAAAATTATTCAGTTGTATGATTAGCTTGTTATGCAGCCCTTAGTTGAAATTATTGTCAAAGGTTTGCCCTTTGGTTGTTCCAAAAACTTTTAAATATAAAGGAGATGCCACATTAAGTCATAATTGGAGGACCAGTCGAGACTAATTATGATGAGAGAGCGTTGGCCAAACGATCATAATGGGCAGAGTGAAGGATCTTCCTAATATCTGTGTTAACCATCAGTATTAAACATTTACATTAAGGTACCATCCGGCAGCTTTTATGGTTCAGGTTTAATGTTAACATTTTGTAACTCATTTCTTTTCTTTAGCTTTTACTGTATAGAGTATGAATTTAGTTCATATTTTATGCAAAATCTTGCTGCCACTTCCTACTAAATCATTCAGGTAAATAAAGGATTTAAATCCTTACCATGCATAAAGGGTTAAACTCATTTTTCCTTCTATATAACGGGGTAACTTCAGGTCACTTTGCTTTTCTTACTGTATATAAATCACCTTTTTCTTCCTGTTACTAAAGTTTTCCCCTGCTTCCTTTAGAACAGTATTGTGGTTTATGCTAATCAGTTTGCATAAAGCAATTAAAGAAAATCTGGTCTTGCTTGATTCCTAATAGAAAATAATTAGAACTAGTTTATTTTTCCAGTTAAATATTTTTGTGTTTTTTTTTTCTAAAAACACCAATAAAAAATGATCTTTTGATTTGAACATTTTGAAGAACATACTTCTCTTACCCTTTAATAAACTTAGTTATCTTGATTCCTATTAAAAAAAGGTTCTCACTGCCTACAATCTCTCGACCTTATTCATCCACTGATTATTTTCTTTATCAAAATGTTTCAGAATTCAAAACCAATTTATATTTTAAAAATGCTTTTTTACATTTTAAATGTTTTTTTCTCCTTTTTATGGGACAAATTGAGCTCTATCTATGAATGTTTAAATTAGATAAATATGTAGATCATTTATTTAACTGTATGGATTAAATGATTTATTCAATCATCTAGTTTTTGGTCAGACTTGGTAAATTGTCAGGTGTATGTTGTCATGTCAGCACTGAAAGTCTGAAATCTTTTTAAAAGCAGCGTTGATGATTTGGTCACCAGTTCTTCTGTCGTCCTCCCACAGATGAGCCATGATCCCCATCACTGAGCTGCGGTACTTTGTGGACACCCAGCCTGCATACCGCATCCTGAAGCCATGGTGGGATGTGTTCACAGACTACATCTCCATCGTCATGCTCATGATTTCTGTTTTTGGTGGAACACTTCAAGTCACCCAAGACAAGATGATCTGCCTTCCCTGCAAATGGGTCGTCAATGAGACATGCAAGAGGAACTTCAGCTCCAACTTGTCCGCGTCCTTCCCATCGGAGCCAAAAGGGATTCAGTATGATCTGGACCGCCATCAGTACAATTATGTTGATGCAGTGTGCTATGAAAATAGGTTGCATTGGTTTGCCAAGTACTTTCCATACTTGGTATTACTCCACACACTTATTTTCCTAGCTTGCAGCAACTTTTGGTTTAAATTTCCTCGGACTAGCTCCAAACTAGAACACTTTGTTTCCATTTTGCTTAAATGTTTTGACTCTCCCTGGACAACCAGGGCACTGTCAGAGACTGTGGTGGAAGAAAGTGATCCTAAACCAATGAAAATGAATGGATCTTTTGACCATAAGGAGTCGGTAATAAGTGAGGATGTGGAAGCCAGCATTCCAATGATTCAGAGAACAAAGACGCGCTTCGAGCAAGGCATCGTTGATAGAACGGAGACAGGAGTTTTGGACAAGAAGGAAGGAGAGCAGGCAAAAGCTCTGTTTGAAAAAGTGAAGAAGTTCCGTATCCACGTGGAAGAAGGAGATGTCGTATACAGACTGTACATCCGTCAGACAATCATAAAAGTTATCAAGTTTATTTTAATCATCTGCTACACAGGGTATTATGTGCACGATATTAAATTTAGTGTGGACTGTTCTGTGAATATAGAAAGCCTGACCGGTTACAAAGTGTACCACTGTGCTCATCCGCTTGCTACACTTTTTAAAATCTTGGCGTGTTTCTACATTTGCTTAGTGGTGGTGTATGGTCTGATCTGCATGTATACGCTCTGCTGGATGCTGCGGCACTCTCTGAAGAAGTACTCGTTCGAATCAATCCGGGAGGAGAGCAGTTACAGCGATATACCCGACGTGAAGAATGACTTTGCATTTATGTTGCACATGATCGACCAGTATGATCCTCTGTACTCCAAACGCTTTGCCGTCTTCCTCTCAGAGGTCAGTGAAAATAAGCTGAGGCAGCTAAACCTCAACAACGAGTGGACGCTTGACAAGCTCAGGCAGAGGATAACCAAGAACTCTCAGGAGAAATTGGAGTTGCATCTTTTCATGCTGAGCGGCATTCCAGATACAGTGTTTGATCTGATGGAGTTGGAAGTTCTCAAGCTGGAGCTCATCCCAGACGTTACCATCCCGCCAATCATCGCACAGCTGGTCAACCTTCGAGAGATGTGGCTCTATCACACTCCCGCAAAAATCGAAGCTCCCGCCTTGGCGTTTTTGCGCGAGAATCTAAAGTCTCTGCACATCAAGTTTACAGACATTAAAGAAATCCCTTTATGGATTTACAGTTTAAAAAACCTGAGCGAGCTTCATCTCACAGGGAATTTGAGCTCTGAGAACAACCGTTACATTGTCATTGATGGGCTCCGCGAGCTTAAAAGGCTCAAAGTTCTCCGTCTGAAGAGCAATCTCACCAAGCTACCTCAAGTTGTGACCGATGTTGGCCTGCACCTCCAGAAGCTCTCAATCAACAATGAAGGCACTAAGTTGATGGTGCTGAACAGCCTAAAGAAGATGGTGAACCTCACAGAGCTAGAGCTCATTCGCTGTGATCTAGAGCGCATACCCCACTCGATCTTCAGTTTGCACAACCTGCAGGAGATTGATCTGAAGGACAACAACCTAAAGACCATAGAGGAGATCATCAGCTTCCAGCACCTTCATCGGCTTGTGTGCTTAAAGCTCTGGTACAACCAGATTGCCTACATTCCTATTCAAATCGGCACTCTGACCAACCTGGAAAAGCTGCATCTAAACAGAAACAAGATTGAGAAGATTCCCAGCCAGTTGTTTTACTGCCGGAAGCTACGAGTCTTGGATTTGAGCCACAATAACTTGACATGTATTCCAGCAGACATCGGTTACCTTCAAAATCTACAGTACATGGCAGTGACAGCCAACAGGGTAAGTACAGATGGAGCAGGTTTTTATTTCTACTGCCTCGTAAAAGCATGTTTACTCCTTGAACCTCTCTGTCTTTTTGCCTCAAATTAATTTCATTTATTTTATTTGATAAACTAATCCAATGATCTGCATTGATGTGAAAGGAAGTTTTGTTTTTATAAATGAAACTGTATAAATTGCTGTGTGTTTGCAGCCCACTTTAATCTAAAACACATGGAAAAAGTTGTCCCCAATTAATTTTCCTCAGAAATAGCCTTTAAAATAAATTAAATCATGTTCATTTTAATACAGATGTTCTGTGAAAGTCTGAAATATTTGGTCAGAGAACATTACCTAGATTCTTGCAGTTAGATTATGCAATATCCCAAGAAAGGTGAGGAATATAGTATGGAAAAGTTTGAGTTATGGTCAACTTATATAAGAATATCCCAAGCTTTGAACTTGTACAAGAGCTCTGTTCAATCAGTCATTGGAAAATGGGAAGGAGTAGGGAACAACTAAAAATCTAACAAGACATGGCCGTACATCTGAGCTGACAAGCTGGGTAAAGAGAGCAGTAATCAAAAAGCTGCCAAGAGGCCTCTGGTGACTCGAGGAGCTACACACATCCGCAGCCTCCAAAACTGGCCTTTTTGGAGATAAAAAAAAAAGCCTCTTTTGAAAGGACCTATAAAAAGTCCCATGAGATGCAGTTTGTTACGATGGGCAGATCAGTGAAGCCGAGCACAGGACAAACCTGGAAAAAAAAAATAACCAAGAACTTGAAACCAAGTTGGAGGTTCATTTTCCTGCAGGGTAATTACCCCCAAAACACCCAGAGCCGCACTAAATGGTATAGAGCATAGCATGTTTATGTGCTTTAATGGTCCAGACCTAAATCCATCTAGGAATGTCAGAAAAACAAAGTGGTAGCAGACTTTCTTTATTCAGATTGAGTTTGGGCTTCATTTAGTCACATGAATGAATCTGAAAATGTTCAACTCTAGATGTGCAGTCAGTGCTGGCATAGACAAACACTGATTACAGTGAAAGGTTATTCTTCAGAGGATTTATTCATGTGGAGCAAATTCATACTCACCCAACACTTTTTCAGGCTTTTTACAAATACTGAGTTTCTTAATCTGTAAAGAATTTGTTGAAAATATGTACAAGTTCCTTCACTAGTAAATGTTCACTCATTAAATAAGATCGTAGTGAAATTTATTTGATTTTTTTATGACTGAAATGTGACAAAGAACTTCAAGGAGTGTTAAATCTTTTGCAAGTCTTTGCATTTTATATTGTTTATTACTTACATTTGGCTTTAGTGCCTGTGTTTAACTATTTTTATTTCTCTTTTGTACAACTTTTTACACTATGAAACAAAGATCGAGGCTCTGCCAAATGAGCTGTTCCAGTGCAAAAAGCTTCGCACTTTAAACCTGGGGAACAACTGCCTCCAGTCTCTGCCGTCGCGGTTTGGAGAGCTCACCGCACTGACTCAGCTAGAGCTTAGAGGAAACCGCCTGGAGTGCTTGCCTGTGGAGCTGGGAGAGTGCAGACAGCTAAAGAGAAGTGGTCTCGTGGTAGAAGAGGACCTCTTCAACACGCTGCCTGCAGATGCTAAGGAACAGTTGTGGAAAGCTGACAAAGAACAAGTTTGAAGGAAGCCATACATACCCTGCGCTTCGATCAGGGCGCAGAATGGTGACCCTGAGGCACTAAGAAACAAGATGTGATCTTGTTTCAGTGTACTACCATTAAAGTAAGGTATTAATGCCAGTGCCAGTCTAGCAGAACCAATACGGACGCTGGTAGCTGCTGTTCATTTTGTTTATATTTTTCTTTTAGAACATTCTGAGGCCAGTGCCATTGTGATCGGGATCTTTTGTTTACAATATCACGGTGTGGTATTTATGGCTTAGAGGAGGAAATGTACAGACAAACTACTGGCTAGCTAAACGTAGACTACTCTGCATTCCAAAATAGTACCAGATTCAGGGTTATTTTGGGGGTTTATATGACCAACCAAAGCTATAACAGCAATATTACAAAGTCATCAACTTTCTAAAAGGCATAGAAACTAATCTCTTGTCCAACATCAACTAAGTTGTCTTTTACTCAAATATATGAACCTAAAACATTGATCGGGGTGTTTCAGTTCTACGTTGTGGACCACAGATCTCAGAGGCCTTCAGCTCCACAGGGTTGATTGGTAAACTCTTACAAACATTAAATAAATTAACACATTGGAGGTAAATGAGTGTCAGTGAAAGTCTCGTAGAGATCAGAGTTTTCTTTGAGAGAAATTTGATGGCATTGGTACAGCAACATTACAGTCTTATCCCACACTTTAATGTTGCTACAGCAACATTACAGTGTGGGATAAGGCTTTTGGGGCAGATTGGTGACCTAATTTATTTGGAATCTAGATTTAATCCTCCTCAGTGGATCAGCATTAGTGGAGGTTTGTATTAATATAACCAATACTAGGGGCTTGTTTTTCTTGTTTACATCCAGGGCTGCAGCCGTATTTTGATCTTTTAATAATCTTTTGCAAACCAATAGAAAAACATACTTCTAAAATATAAGTTCATGAGTCATATCCGTCTCATAGGAATCCATTAAGAGGCAGGACTTATCTTTTGGATTATATAACAGTGGAAACTGGCTCAGGAAGAGTAGTCGCCTTGGATTCTGAATTTCTGGGTTGGATTCCTGCTTCTTCCTGTCACAGCTCAATGTGCCGCAGGGCAAGTCACTTGACCGTTGGTGGTTTGAGTTGCTGGAATGAGTAGAAAAGCATATGAATTCAGTCCCATTACAGTGAAGTTAACGTTCATTAAGGCAGGGCCATGAATAGCATTGCTATCACTAGTATCAGTATTAATGAGCACTTTTACTCACACAACCATAAGCTTTGAAGCAATAATGAATCCCTCTGCAGATTTAGCTGCCCCCCTAAATGAGCCCCAACATTCGCACTGTACTCCCTCTTGAAACCAAATGTTTTTCTACAATTTTACACAAGGGATCTTGGAAGTCACTATTTTCTCAATTTCGCCTGTAGTTGCTGACTTGCCCCATTACTTCCCTGCATACTCATCATGCACAGTACCATGTCACTGGTTACAAGGTCTTATTGTAAATAGACTCAAAAGGGCTTCATTTATTAACAAACTCAGCAAAAAACATAGCATAAAACACAAAAATAACTGATGCCACACCAGCAGGGTGCAATAATTGTTCTGAAAAACTTTATTATACATAGAATGCATTATTCCCATATAAATTAGAGAAGTCATATAAGGAGACTGCTTCTTTAAAATGTGTCGTTATTACACATTATTTTCTAACAAAACATGTAAGAGTTCCTTTAATGAGATGAAAAATAAATACTTTTCCAAAGTGAAGGAAAGCATGTAAAATTGGCTCCCTTAACAGTTAGAACTAGCCTTGAGTTTTTTCGTGTTATACAGTATTTTCTTAAGTGTTAATTGTAGGCATAGGCTGGTATGATTTTCTAATGGCACAGCCCTGAGTAAAAGTACAATCATATAACAATATGGTATTAATACAAAAATTTAAAGGAAAGATATGCATGATGTTACAGTGCAGGATTAAAGTTTAAAAAGGGTCAACTTGGTGAGAGTAATGTTACATTTTAGTTTCCACATCTTAACTCTGTTATATTCCCCTGAATCTAAATAAAGGAATTAAAACCTTAATGTTGCAAAGCAAATTCAACCCAATTTAAGTCACTCAGATTAATGTAAAAAAAAAAAATTATACCTAAATATGAAATGTTAAGCCCTAGCTGCATAGACTCCATAATGGCCTGAAAGCCGAGGGAGATTCTAATACTGCAGAGCAGTAGTTAGTGCATTAGACCTTTAAGGTCACGTCTCCTAGACATAAGGGGTCATTGCTTTAACTTTAAAAAAGAGGTAAAGATGAAATATGGAGTGTTGTCCTAGTGGTTAGAGCAGTGTGCTTGTGCTCTGAGAAGGTTGCAAGTAGCCGGTTCGATCCCCTGATTTCTTGCTCCCTGAGCAAGACCCTTAACCCCTGATTGCTCCCCAGGCGCCACATAGTGGCAGCCCACTGCTCCCCAAGGGGATGGGTCACAATGCAAAAGTGAATTTCTCCATTGTGAGATCAATGATGTTCAATTATTATTGAATCTAAATACTAGTTAGTCTGCCCTTATGAGATTCACTCTCTGATCGTCTTTTTTATTCTTTTTCTTTACCAGCTTTCATCATAATTACACTGTCACAAGTACAGAGCAATGAAATTAAGTCTCTGCATGTAACCTCTCCCCTTGGGTAGCAGTGGGCTGCCATCGTGTGGCGCCCAGGGAACAGTGTAGGGTTAAGGGTCTTTGCTCACAGACCCAGAGTGGCATACTGTTGGAGTGGACTCAGAACCTCTGGATTCCAAGCTCTATGCCTTAACCACTAGGCCACCATTCCCATTCATGCTAGGACTCAACTGGACACGGTACAGCCGTTATAGGATAGCAGCTATATAAATAAATAGATTAAATAATTTATATTTATTTCATCCCAGTCCTGTTAGACCCACATACAGCTGATTGAAATGCAACCACATTAAAACCTGCATTCCATAATTTGCTCCAACAGGAGCAACTACTGATAAAACCAATATTTGATGTCAAATTGTATTAGTTGCATAACAGCAACTCTTTGAAACCATCCTATAGCTTGATAACTGCTATCATGGCCAGAACCAATCGATACAGATAGGAATTTTACGATTTTCCCATCTCCAGGTCTGTTTTCCATCAGCAGAAGACGACTCCAGTCCATTGATGATATGCCTGCTCTTTGTGTTGCTCTATGCTTCATGCTTTGTTGACAACAATAACCAAATAACCAGTTAGTATTTTACACAGCTAAGTTAGATGTGATGTTTTAGGAGCAGGTTTGTTTTTTGTTGTCAGTTTTGTATTCCTGCCTTCTTAAAGTTTTTTTTTTTTTTTTACTTAAGCTAATGTGTAAAGGTTAGAAAATCTAGCAAGAGATTGATGACCTAACATGCTCAAAAGTCCTCTGGACATTCCTTTTGTTGTTCATGAAATACACACACCCTTTTATGTCGTTTTATGTGATTGTTTTTTTTTTTGCTTGTTTTATTTAGTGTATTAAGTTTTTAAATTGTGTTATAAATGTAAGGACTCTTCTGGAGGTTCAAATATGAAAAAAAAGTTTTGATTTCACAAACTTATGCAATGCCTGCAAGTATAATTTTTTTGATAATGTAAAATGTTAAAAAAGTAGCATTCTACACTTTTGTAATTCTACTGAAAAGTATGAGAAATATATTAAGCTATATTCATCTACTTCAGTTGCATGTAGTTGTGATAAATTGTGCAATATGGTGTTTAAACTTAGTGTGGGTAAGTTACAATTTTTTTCTGTGCATCAGCCTAGCTTTTTTATTATTTGTAGTCGTTGCAGTACATTTTTTTTTATTTTCTGGAGAATATTTTTGCACTCTAGCACCTTCTCCCACTATACTACATTTAGGAAATTCAATAATGGCACAAAAAAGAGGTTTGTATGCTGTTTTTTTTTTTTTGTCTTATTTCTTGATGATTATACCATAAAGGAAAGTGTTATTTTGTCTTTGAAAACTTTTTTACAGACTATTTGGCCATAGGCCTCTTCAGACAATCACCATTAGCTTATGAAAAATATGTAAAAAGTAATGGTGAGCTTGGAGTATCCAATGCTTTGATGAATCTCCGATTATTTTTTGGTTGTGTAACTTTCCCTGTTTCCACTCTTATAAGTATTGAATAGTTTCTCAGGAATCCAGCTTGTACTTATATTTTCTTCTATCGGTTGTCTGTTTACTTTGTAATACACTAGATTCATGTTAACAAACTATTAGGAATGTTTTATGTACTGTTCAATTTTTTCTTTTTTATATTGAAAAGTTTGTGTCTAAAAATAAAAACTTTTGGCTTAATAATTAACTCAGCGCCTGCCTTTGTAATAATTGTGGGTATATAAATGCATTGAAATCATGAGAATTTCTGTTCTCAACTTCAATGATTTTCTTTTACAGTGGTTCGATGTCCTCATTTAGTTTTACAGAGTAACATAATCCATTCATCCATTTTCTGTCACGCTTATCGCTGCTGGGGTCGTGATGGGGGCTGGTGCCTAGCTCCAGCTGTCAATGGGCCAGTGGCGGGTTACACTCTGGACAGGTCGCAAGTCCATCATACATACACACATACTCACTCACACATAAGAAGAATTTAGAGAAGCTTGTTAACCTAACTGTCATGTTTTTGGACTGTGGGAGGAAGCCAGAGTACCTGGAGAGAACCCACACATGCACAGGGAGAACATGCAAACTCCATGCAGAAAGATCCCCGGCCTGAAATTTAAACTGGAACCTTGATGCAAGGCAGCAGTGCTACCCACTACTCCACTGTGCAGCCCGAGTAACTATGTTGCAAAAAAAAATATTTTATTTTTATTTTTTGCAACAGAGAGTAACTTTATTTTGCAAAAAATTAAAGACGTAAAAACAATCCTGATTATGTTTTGCAGGACAGTCTTAGTGCTCTAGTATTTTGCGACTTTAAGCATGCTTCTCATTTGCTTGTGCACCAAGAAAATACACCAGTTTGAATAAATTTTTCAGATTTTATTTTGTCTATGTGATGAGTTGTGTTCTATTGATAGAGTTCCCCTGATAGAAATGTCCAAAAAATAAGAAGTTAATATACTATGTAAATTGCAAAGTCTCACAAATATTGATTTTATGAGTAGATTTGGAGCCCTCAGTATTTTAGCCATTTCCTATACTGAGATCAACACACATCTGCCTTACTTGGATGTTCTCTTGTCTTTCCTTTGTAGTGGGATGGCAAAGAAAGCCCTCTGTGTCATATATCTGTTCATGTATCACTTGTAAACCGTAAACTAATAATAATGTAGGAGCCAATTATTTTTTGTTAATTTAAAAGTTTTTTTGTTTTTGTGCATAATCTAGCTAAGTTTATTCACTTTATTGTTTGATATCTATTATGAGATTATGTTTTTTGGTTATTTAGTCATGTTTCTTTGTTTTTGGTTATTTATGATTAATTTGGGTGAATTATTTTTATAAATAGGCAGTCAATGGTAGGACCAGCATGTATCTGGGTGGGCGTATGTTTTTTTAACAGCACAAGAGAGGCATGGAGGAAATGTTTGTCCGTTTCTGTTTGCTTGCCTGAGGAGAAATAAACTGAGAAAGTTAAAGGAGTTTACCTGGAACATTGTTTCTTTTGCCTGCGTAAATCACTTAGTCCATGGTGCATCTTTGGCCGTTGTGGATTTCTTTTTGTGTGTCCCCAAAGCTGGGCCACAAATAATAATAATAATAAACTTATTTTAAATTCACTTTATGAAGAGAAAAGCTCATAACAATTAATTTTCTGGATGTTTAAATAAATGTGTATACTTTTGATTTTCTATCATTTTTGATGTGAGATTTTAGCTAGTGAGATTTACCCCTTCAATGAAACAGCAAAAAAAAAAAAGAAAATAAATAAATAAAAAAAATAAAAAAAAAAAATATATATATATATACAGGTGCTGGTCATAAAATTAGAATATCATGAAAAAGTAGATTGATTTCAGTAATTCCATTTAAAAAGTGAAACTTGTATATTATATTCATACATTACATACAAACTCATATAGTTCAGATGTTTATTTTGTTTAATTTTGATGATTACAAATGACAACAAATGAAAATCTCAAATTCATCATATCAGAAAATTAGAATATTGTGAAAAGGTTCAAAATTGATGGCCCCTGGTGCCACACTCTAATCAGCTAATTAACTCAAACCACCTGCAAAAGCCTTTAAATGGTCTTTCAGTCTAGTTCTATAGGCTACACAATCATGGGGAAGACTGCTGACTTGACAGTTGTCCAAAAGACGACCATCGACACCTTGCACAAGGAGGGCAAGACACAAAAGGTCATCGCTAAAGAGGCTGGCTGTTCACAGAGCTCAGTGTCCAAGCACATTAATAGAGAGGCGAAGGGAAGGAAAAGATGTGGTCGAAAAAAGTGTACAAGCAAGAGAGATAACCGCACCCTGGAGAGGATTGTGAAACAAAACCCCTTCAAAAATGTGGGGGAGATTCACAAAGAGTGGACTGCAGCTGGAGTGAGTGCTTCAAGAACCACCACACACAGACGTATGAAAGACATGGGTTTCTGCTGTCGCATTCCTTGTGTCAAGCCACTCTTGAACCACAGACAGCGTCAGAAGCGTCTTGCCTGGGCTAAAGAGAAACAGGACTGGACTGCTGGTGAGTGGTCCAAAGTCATGTTCTCTGATGAAAGTAAATTTTGCATTTCCTTTGGAAATCAAGGTCCCAGAGTCTGGAGGAAAAGAAGAGAGGCACTTCATCCACGTTGCTTGAAGTCCAGTGTAAAGTTTCCACAGTCAGTGATGGTTTGGGGTGCCATGTCATCTGCTGGTGTTGGTCCATTGTGTTTTCTGAGGTCCAGGGTCAACGCAGCCACATACCAGGAAGTTTTAGAGCACTTCATGCTTCCTGCAGCTGACCAACTTTTTGGAGATGCAGATTTCATTTTCCAACAGGACTTGGCACCTGCACACAGTGCCAAAGCTACCAGTACCTGGTTGAAGGACCATGGTATTCCTGTTCTTAATTGGCCAGCAAACTCTCCTGACCTTAACCCCATAGAAAATCTATGGGGTATTGTGAAGAAGATGCAATACACCAGACCCAACAATTCAGAAGAGCTAAAAGCCACTATTAGAGCAACCTGGGCTATCATAACACCTGAGCAGTGCCACAGACTGATCGACTCCATGCCACGCCGCATTGCTGCAGTAATACAGGCCAAAGGAGGCCCAACTAAATACTGAGTGCTGTACATGCTCATACTTTTCATGTTCATACTTTTCAGTTGGCCAACATTTCTATAAATCCTTTGTTTTTATTGGTCTTCAGTAATATTCTAATTTTCTGATATGATGAATTTGAGATTTTCATTTGTTGTCATTTGTAATCTTCAAAATTAAACAAAATAAACATCTGAAATATATGAGTTTGTATGTAATGTATGAATATAATATACAAGTTTCACTTTTTAAATGGAATTACTGAAATCAATCTACTTTTTCATGATATTCTAATTTTATGACCAGCACCTGTATATATATATATATATATATATATATATATATATATATATATATATATATATATAAAGGCTTTAAGACATTTATGCTAGCAACAGTATTCTGTATCTTAATATCTCTGGTAGTATGCAAACACCCCTATGCAGATTTTTTTTAACCTCAAATATTTCCAGTTAACAGTAAAATGAAAATGTTTACTTACAGCAACAATTTGCATTTTAAAATTAAAACGAGCGCCCTGTGATTACCAGCGGAACCATAGTGCGGATTATGTTGTTTCTTTCCGGAGTAGTTTGTTTCGTGCACAACATCACAGAGGCAACATTCAAAATGGTAATTTCTTTGTAATCTATTTTAAAAGTTTGGCTTTGGTTTCAGTAAACTGTACATCCATCTCGTCTAGTCAGTGACGCTGTTTTTAATTATACTTATATCGCGATAATCACGTTAAAATCACGGATGCAGTCGCGTTACTTTATATACTGAGCTGATAGGAAAGCTGCGCGCATCATTGATTTTTAGGCTATTAACATTTCTGTTTGACTTCTTGTGATATTTCAGGCAGTTACTCTCCACACAGATCTAGGAGATCTTAAGATCGAGCTGTTCTGTGAACGCGCTCCCAGATCTTGTGAGGTAAGTTTAAAAACAAATTTTGACCTAATAAGAACTTAATCGATGTTCATTGAAATACTTTTCAGCTGATTAGTGAGTAGAATCAGGGGGATTCAAACTGGATCTATTATAGGGACAAGAAAGGTTGGAATTTAACAACACCGAGCTATGAGATTATTTGTTTTTCTGCTACTAAATAATGTACATTTACATTTCATGTTTACAATTGTGGTTGTTATCACTCAGCTTTAGTGAATCTGAAGTCATACTGAGAACACTGGAATTTAATTTACTTTACAGAACTTCCTGGCTTTGTGTGCAAGCGGCTACTACAATGGCTGCGCCTTTCATCGAAATATAAAAGGCTTCATGGTTCAAACTGGAGACCCAACAGGTATTGCTTTGGGGTTTGATTTTCAATCATTTCTCTTAGAAAAAATCACAATCCCTGGATTAGATGTAATGATTAACTGATTTAAAAATGTCTTGCAGGTACAGGTAAAGGAGGAACGAGCATATGGGGTCGCAAGTTCGAAGATGAGTTCAGTGAGCACTTAAAGGTGAGTGTTGATTGAGATTAACTTAAACACAATGACTGCTTTTTTTAAGCAACAATAGTTCAGCTGAATCACCTTTTTCTCTCTTTTCAGCACAATGTCAGAGGAGTGGTGTCAATGGCAAATAATGGCCCGAACACCAATGGTTCCCAGTTTTTCTTCACATATGCCAAACAACCTCACCTGGACATGAAGTACACAGTGTTTGGAAAGTATGACATATATGCCTTATAAACAGCTGTAATGATACATGTTCTATCTATTTATTGATTTTACTGCAAATTTCTTTGATACATCTTTCTAATTTTGCTTTCTCTTTTTTTTTTTCCAATATCACCTTTTGACATGTAGGATCATTGATGGCTTAGAAACGCTTGATGAGCTGGAGAAGCTGCCGGTGAACGAGAAGACGTTCCGTCCACTTACTGAGAGCCGGATAAAGGATGTGACTATCCATGCTAACCCATTTGCTGGATAGACATCTTTCATCTCAGATGTTGTTTTTTTGTTGTTGTTTCAGTGAGGCAGAAGATGCAGTGCCTTGACAATGTTTAAGTGAATTGGTTTTCACAGGGAGACGAGAAACTGGAGCAAATACACCCAATGGGAAAGAACCAACTATGAAACTTCATAGTTTTAGTAGTGTTTTTACCAAAAAGGAAACTCACTGAGTGGATTTTTCCGAAATCTCAAGATCTGTCAAGTTGAAAAATGATTAGGAACGTAAAGAAAGATAATCTATAATTACAGCATTTCTCCATTTATTTAGCTCCACTTAAAAAACCCACCAAGATGGCTCAATGGTTTAAAAAAAGTTTCTGAAAAATAGTTCACAATCGCACCTAAGCTGGAAACATAATTGAGCCTTTCTTCTGTTTCAATGTTCTGTTTTTTATCATATGCCTGTTGTTAAACAGATACCAATTCTTCTTGGCTAAATAAATTGTTTTATATGTTTTTGTCTCATTTAATTATAGTCTCTGTTATGAAAAGTTGCTTAAGAGCTAGTAATGGATGTAGAACAAAATTTCAGGTGCATCACAATCTAACGAAAACAAATTGATCCTGCATTAAAAAAAGGCTTTTTTGACATCTCAACTTACTGAAAATGCATCCATGTTATGTGCTGTATATGATGTAATCAGTGCATGATAGGGGCTCCCGTTAGCATGAATCAGTGCATCATGGCATGGAGGCAATAAGCCTTTAGCTCACATAAGTCTCTATGACCTTTAGAAGGTTTTGAGTGCGTTTACCAGTGTTTCCTGGTGGAAAGCATTAAGTGTCCTGGAAGAAGACTGTGCCGATTTGGGACTTCAATATTGGGCTGTGGACGTTCAATAGCCAATTACATCACATGCCTTCACAACTCATTTATTTCCACTGGGTATCAAGTAACCAGTTCTCTGCTTCTCCACTCTTCCACCAGACTCTGGGACAAGACTCAATTCTAAACAAAGATCAAGTTTTACATGTAATCAAAGTGAAGCTTTGCATGGCTGAGAACGTTGCTCTGTGTTTTTTCCTAAACTGGACACAGATCAGATAAATGTAGTGTGTATTTCTTGGGACAAACAGGAAAGCTGTGGATAAAGGAAAGACCCACTTCTCATACAAGACTTTGTAACTTACATGAGATATTTCTTTCTGTGAATCTTATTGTGACATTTGGTAAAAGGTAATCTGAGACTTGGAAAAACTCTTTTGGATGGTACATTCTATGAAGTCAAGACTAGCCTGCTGAAATGTTATAAGCTGGAAAAATAAAAATAGCCTTGATTATTTATCACTTTTTCATATTTTACATACTTTGTTTATAGATGTTAAAATATTCTAATTTTTTTCAGGAATTAAAGTAATTCTGTAAAACATTCATAAACCTTACCAATTACTTTATTGAGTTTTTATGGAATTAACTAATTCCCTATAACTTTCATAAAACTCACCGGTTTGTGTCCAGAAAATATAATCAGAATATCACATAAAACTTTCAAAAAGTGTTACTTGTAATATATAAAAAAAATGCTTGTGACGTTCTGGAAGAAAATGTTGGTATAAATCACCTTTTATTTTAGCTAATTTCTCGAAGACCCACTTAAAGTTGTTGGAAATTCGCTGTTCTACTTCAGAGTTTGGAAGAGTTTGCCATTACAACTCATGGCATGATACATCTATATACTCTTATATTTCTAATATCTGCTAAGAGGCCCTCCCTGTATAATTTGCATTTGTTAATTCCAAATGATATATATTATTTATTCAGGCCAACTGTATTCTTGCTTGTCTGTGTGTAGCATCTTAGCACACAAAAAAGCCTGCTTATATATATATATATTATATATGTTAAACAAGTAAACAATTTGTTGAGCTGCTCTTATGAGGCAAACAAAAAAAACACAAAACAAAAAAATTATGAAATCAGTATTTTATTAAATTATCATTAAGTAAGTTTTTTATTCATTTTTTTCAGTTTTGTATTTTTAGAAGTACTAATGTGGATTTCTAATTTCCTTTAATAGAGAGGGTATGTAAATTCCCAAGCACAACTGTATATGTATTCATATATCAGTACAGAACAGACTTAAAAAAAAAAAAAAAAAACTGACTTAAAAACCCCAAATACCTACATTCTATCTGGCTTTTCTCATTTTAAGAAATACCTTAAATAAATAAAAGTCTTTCCACAGACTTTACTTACTTTTATTTATCCCCATATATCAGCCACCTATGCTGCCTAAAATGTGCCCCTGCTCATACACATTAAATGAATGTGAGTCATCAGTTAACACTTTAAACCTCTCACTATGTGAAATAACTATAGGATACATTTCATCCTTATTTTTGAATTAAGTTATATTCTTGTTTGTTTGGAGTCAGCCGTGGTGGTGGTGGATTCCTTTATGAACTACAAATTAGCTACCGGCTCATCGTATTGCGTCATCAGTGGGGGACAGTCGTCCATTAAATTAGCAAACTTTGCAGAAATGGCTTCAGAGGACGCGTTTAAAGTGAGTGCACGTGTCTTTAAATAAATTTTTAATTGTTAAAATCAAACTGGTGAAAAGCTTTCGTTTCTGCTCCTCTGTTTACCTTTGGGTAAAAGGTATTCGGACACGTCAAGTGTTAATACTTGTTTCTTTTCTCTGTTTTCCCAGGTGTCATCCCTGAGGGGGAAAGTGGCCTTGATAACGGGAGCCAGCTCGGGGATCGGGGCTGGAACGAGCGTCCTGTTCGCGAAACTTGGAGCTTTGCTGGCTTTGAACGGCAGAGACGTCCAGAGCCTCCAGAAAGTAGCCACACAGTGCACTGAAAGTGGAGCCGCTGAGGTACACTCATGGGCGTAGGTTTGCATAGGGACATAGGCGGATCTACTGGGGTGGCAAATGCCACCCTAAATGACAGCCTTGCCACCCCTGCTGCCACCCCAGTTGGCGGTAGGGGTGGCGAGGCTTATAAATTATGGATCATTTGAGAATTACCGACCGCTAATTTCCATTGTCGGACTGCAGTGAATGCAGCACGAGATGACGTGAGAGCGACTGAGACTGATTGTTTTGAAAACCGAATGGGGCAAAGCGAGGGAGCCAGGGGTGATGGGGAGAGGAGAAACAGGTAAAAACTGATTAACTATCTATCGACAAATTAAATCATAATGAAAGCACAATGTTGCTAGCATAGCTGCAATGCTGATTTACAGATGATTAAAATCAGGTTGCAGAACGTTATTTCTCTAAATATGATGTTAGTTAGGCCTGACGTCTGAGGCTCATAAAGACATATTTGCGGTCAATTATGACAGAAAAGAGACGATCAAGTTTGGTTGAACCTAGCATTGAATCAAAACGCACAAAAGCATTGGATCTAAATACATTTGTGTAGCGTTTTGCTGAGCAACATGGAAATCGCCGCATTCAGCTGTTATAGTCATGTTAACTTTATGTTATGCTCTCTGGTGAGCCTTTACAGAGCTGTTACATCTGACAGTAAAGTAAAGTAAAGTAAAGTTAAAAATGTGATACTGGTGTAAATCCTGCTTAACATGAAGCAGTATTGTTTCTTTTTTTGTATATAAAGTATGAACCTATCCAGAAATGACCTGTATGAACCTACTCACAACGTTTTTTGTACATTTTCAGACTGGAAGCAAAAACATATTTTTATGTTGCTTCTTTTCAGATTAGTGGTGATTTTGATATAACATGTAACATTTATGTTGATTTTTTTGATACAGCAGCTCTATCTACAGCATATCTACATGCATATCTACATACAATGCAAGGGAAATGTCCCTTTCATGTTGCCGTAACTGCTGTATGTCAGGTTACTGAGGAACAAATGGGGTAAATGTGTGTTCAGAGTAATCAATACATGGATGTCTGGTATCTTGTTTGGGTGCCTTGACCCATTTATTTCTACTGTGTAGTTCTGCTCACTTTAGTCCAGCTCAGTCCATAGATCTCTGATGGGAAACTTTTTCTTTCTATAGTTTCTTCTTGTGCAAATGCTGCAAAGCTGCCTCTCTGACAATCAATGTCACACATCTACCACTCAGCACCTGTGTCTTACCTTAATACCTTTTCTGTGATAATGCCCCATTAGAAGTAGTGTTATCATTCTTCTATCTCCTATTAAGGGAGATCACATTCTACAATGTATTTCTAATATGAACTGTTTCACATGAAACACTTACTGTACATACTATTCTCACCAAACTGTAATAACTGTGATTAAATTCAGTGTAAACAAATGCCATATGTTGCCACCCCTCAAAAATTCCTGGCCCCTCTTGCCACCCCATAAATATCTTTCTAGATCCGCCCCTGCATAGGGACCATAGGGACATGTCCCTACCAAAATTTTGGATGGACCTATTTGTCCCTACCAATAATTGGATGTGAGCAACATGTTTATAATTTACTATACAGCAGCCGCTTCTTTTCCTCTCGCAGCTTCTCTGCCTGGTAGCTGCAGCTGCCTGCTCTCTCCTGTCCCTTTCACATAGCAGTGCATCAACTGTGCTGCGCGGTTTAACTCTCTGATTATTCTGCCTTAAGTTCCGCCTTCTCTCTTTCTGATTGCGTGTTTTCTAGTCTGTATGTGCGCGCGCGCGGGTGCTCGGAGCGCGAAAAAAAAGACGCTAAAATAAATTAATATTGGGCTACGAAACTAGTCCGAATTAAAAAACTTATTATCTACGCTAAAACAGGCGAAAGCTTCTGATTGGAGTTCTGTAAAGAAGCAGGAGAGAGTTTTTTGATTTGTGGAACTTGAGAAATGTAAGTTAACAACGTTAGGATTTCTTTTATTTTATCTTTTAATCAGATAGCCAAACGCTCCTTAAAGAAGATCTTTTATGAAATGAAACCAGATGAAACAGAAACGTTTAAACGTTTCCTTTGGAGGAGTTCTGGTTGTAGAATATTGACAGACAAAAACTTTTTTTTTTTTACTTCTTAAATGCAAAATGTTTACATATTTTTTACAATCTTGGTATAATTCCTGCTCTAAGTGGGTCGCTCTGTCGGCTAAAGGCACATTTTAGTGGCCCTATACTCCAGTTTACGATTAATCAATTACTAAATTAGTTCACGATTATTTAAATAATTTGTTAATATGATTAATT